GAAGGGGGACGGGAGGGGGAGGTAAAGGCGGGGGAATAGAGGTAGGAAAGGGGAGGGAGGAGAAAGAGTGAGAGGGAGGTGAGGTTAGTGTAGCATGGCCTGGCCAGGGCCAGAACTGGGAAGAGAAGGGAGAGGAGATTCCCCCAGTTTGCGTACGCACTGGCCTTGTCTCTGGAATGGTGCTGGCCCAGCCCCAGCCACCCCCCTGCCCACCTGCCCACCCATCTGTTTATCTGCCTCAGGTGTCTGGGAATGCTGGTTAGAGGCTACCAGGGAGGGGGACTCCAGGGGCCAGCCCCCAGGAGCTGAGGTCTGAACAATACCTTGGAGTCAGAATATAAAAGTCAAGGGACTCAGGGGTGGGCTGGGGAGTGGGGGGGGGGGGGGACAGTGGCCACCCCCCCTACTTGCCCACCTCCCAAGAACCAGGCTTTGTGGGCCAGAAGGAGGATCCTTGAGACCAACGGAGGGGGGGGTGGTCTTTGTTAGGGGTCTGTGCTAGGCTCAGCCACTGTCACAACTGTTGCTGAGGTGGCTGCTGTGGGCAGGGCACATGCAGCCTAGGAGTCAGAGTAGAGAAAGGGGCCGAGGGGCCTGAAGTGGCCCCTAGTGCCGGCTCCAAGCCATTCTGGTTCTCCTGGGTGCTGGGGCTGCCAGTGGTGGGCAGGGGTTGGGGGGGGCCCTCACCCCCAGTCTCCTCCTCCAGCTCCTCCTCCTCCTGGGCCTCCTCAGCCTCTGGCCCTGAGCTCCGTACCCTCTTTGGCTCTAGCTCCTCTCGGGCTGGGTCATCGCCCTCCCCACCCCGATCCACCTTCCGCCGTCGCCGCCTCTCCAACGCCCGGCCCCGTGCCCGGCTCCCATGGCGCTCTGCCTTTTCCAGCTGTGTGATCAGACAGGCAGAAAGAGGTGTGGGCCAGTGGTCAGGCCTGGGCTCCCTGCCTCCTTGGCCTGACCTCCTGGCCCTGTCCATCCCTCTCCTTACCTCTAGAAGTGTGCGGATCCGCTCCATGTCTGGAGGCTGCCCAGCCTGCAATAGCTGCCAAATGCTGTGGTTTTCATCCAGGGTCACCTCAAGCAGGTCCCCTTCTAACATAAGCTCCTCTAGAGGGGCCCGAGTTGCCTCAGGCAGCTCCAACACAGGGCCAGTCAACTGTGGCAACAGCGAGGAAAGCAGCTCCAGGTCTGGTGGGTTGCGGGGACAGGCTGGGTTAGAGGCTGCTCCTGGTTGTATCCCCACCACTAAAACAGAGCCGAGGACCACAGGGGTCACTGGGGATATCCAACCAACAACCTACCCACACCTAGACCTACCTCTCTTACCTGAGCCCTCCCCGGGGGCTACCTTCTCAGGACTGGTCACACTGTCTCCGTTCTCCAGCAACCCCTGGACCTGCAAAGAGCAAGGATGGGTAGTGGTCGGTGAAACCAGGCCCTTATTTCCCACCAACCCCAGACTTGGGACGTTCCACCTCCTGGAGGAGGAGAGCAAAGGCTGCAGCACACGGAGCAGTCTGGGGATCTGGACAGAATGTAAAATGGGGCAGGGAGGCCAGGCCAAAAGAGGCCAGAAGTCAGAGAGCAGGGACAGGGCTGGCGCCTAAATAGGGGCGGGGGCTAGGAGGCAGGAATTTGAGGGCAAGAGCTGGGTTGGGCAGCTCACCTTGGGCATATCCTTGCCACTGCCTTCTCTGAGAGGGTCAGAGGCAGGGGCTGAAGGGTAGGTAGGGGGTTCCTCAGGCCTGGGTTCAGCCTGCAGCCGCTGGCGAAGCTCGGCCAGCCGTCCCAACAGAGCAGTCACATCCTCAGAGGCCAAAGCCTGCCTGGCACGGCCTTGCCAGCTGATGGCCCTCTCTGTGAGACACTGCAGGGCCTCGCCCTCAGGCAGCCGCACAGGCAGTCTCTGCAGGGCTACCAGCAGTGCCAGGATGGTCTCCAGGCGGGGGCGCCGTGAGCGCATGCACAGCGGACACAAGAATTTGGTGTCCCACTCCCACCAGGCCAGCAGCGGGGACGAGGTGGGACTGGGCCTTGGGGAGCTGAGGAGGCGGGGTACCGACACACATCGCCCATGGAACCAGTCCTGACACAGGTCACACTGCAGAGCTCCCACCCCGGCCGGCACCTGCCCACACACACAGACGGAGGTTGCAGAGGAAGTTGTGGTCGATGATGCCAGTGGACTGGGCTTGGCGGAGTTGGTGCGACGCAGCTGCAGGATACCCTCCTTCTCCTTCTGTTCCCCCTCCTTGAAGGCCACGATCTGGCAGGCCCAGGACAGCGGGAGAGGAGGTCAGCGGCCCAGCCCCTCCCTTCTCTGACGCCATTAACACCCTACTCCCAAACCAGGAGAAGTGAGGCCCCAGGAGCAAGCGGTCTGGCCATGGTCGCCCCATTCAGACACCTATCACCACCAGGCTCTTCTCCCAAACAGGGCCCCAGCTCCTTACCACAGAGCCTGGGTCCCTGAGGTCCTGTGCAGACAGTCCCAGCAGCTCCGTGTCAGATTTGTACAACCCCAGCTCCTTCTCCATCCACCGGCTGCGCTTGGTGCTGTCTGAGCCGGCGTCTGCACACGGGCAGAGCACCTACGGCAGGCAGACAGAGCAGGGATGACTAGGCTTCTCCTACCTCCCACTGCCAGGACTTCCAAACCCCCACATCCTCACATGAGCCATCTCCCAACAGCCGGGCCAGAGGCAGGAGACGGTGCGGGTCAGGGTCCAGGCCTTACCTCCAGCAGCGTGTAGCAGGAATTCCTCTTGAGGAAAGTCTTGGATGCCTTCTCCCTCCAGGAGTGTGCCGTCAGTACCTGCAGCTCTAGCTGTCTCAGCTCCTCCAAGCCCACAGGTAGGTCCCGGCCCACAGCCACCAGGCCCTCTAAGTCATCCAAGCAGGGGTAGTGGTCACCATTCTGGGACAGGGACAAGAGAAAGCTCCAGTCAACTTGCCAACATCTACTGATGGTACTACTTTGCCCAGCCCTGAGCTGGGAGGAGGGACTGAACTGGTAGTCTTCGGGTAGAACAAACCAGGGATCATCCCACGGGAAGCACTCCTGTAGCTCCTACATCCACTGGCTTGTCCCCTGATACCAGTCAGTGCCAGTGACTGCCAGACTAATCATCCTCTTGTGGCCTGCCTCTCCCACCCTCCCTGACCCTACCATTCTCACCCTTTCTACAACCTCTTTGCCCTCAGGCTGGCCCTGCAATCCCTCTTCATGCTGCTCACCACACCAAGCCCATTTTGCCTCCACTAGATGTACCGCGCTCACTTCTCTAGCCCACCCAACCCAGCGCAACCCAGTGTATGCCAGCTCTCCTGGCTGGACTGAAGGCCTGGGGTGGAGGTTCAGGGGGCAACAGGGTCCTCACTTGGATCTCATCCACATCAGCAATCCAGGCCCGGGCCTTAGCAAGAGCCTCCTTGAGAGCCTGGATGTTGGGCAGGTGAACAGGGATGTTTTCTGCCTCATGGATTATGGCCTCGAGTGTGGCTGGTGGATGCTTCTGCCTGAAGGTAGGGAAAAAAGAGGCCTCAGTGTAGGGTAATCTGCTTGACCAGCAGCCCGGCCTGACCGCCAGATGTATCGGCATGGGACCCTGGAGCTGCCATGTGGGCCTACCTGCAAGTACTCTGCCTACAGGGGGCTGCTGGTCCCTGTTTGCTCCAGACCGCATGCACCCACCCAACTTCTGCCACAGCCTTCGTGCCTCTGCCTGGCCAACCAGTCTGTCATCCTGTTCACACTTCCTACACAACTGGAAAGATTAACCTGGCACTCCAGTTCGTCAGACTGCCCTGTGTGTGGCTTCTTTCTATGGACAGCTGTCCACCTGCCTGTTAGTACTTGTGCTCACACGTGTGCCCACGTCAGCCCGTGGAGCTGGTGCCACTATACGTCTCTGTATCTGTCCATCTCTGCTTCCCCACTAGCCTATCTCTGCCTCTATGTATATATGGAGTTTTAAAAGATAAGCTAGGGAAGAAAAAAGGGGAAGAAAGTCAATACACCAGTGACAGAGTCTGGTACCCAAGGCCACCCATGGGAATCATTTCTGGCTTCTCCACTAAACTTTGACGGTTAGGGTAGAGCAGGTAGGGGAGGAGGCTGGACCTACCTGGCCTCCAAGCAGAGGTGGGCTTTCTCCTCCCAGCGTTCAGCAATGGTCAGCAGCTCCTGCAGCTCAGCCCGGGCTTTGTCCACAGCAGGGCTAGGGGCTACGCTAGCACCCGCGACCAAAAGTCCCCGCATGACAGCCAGGGTGCCCCTCCGGGCTGAGGGGGCCAGCGTGCGCTTCACCTCATCCAGCCATCGTGCCTGTTCCACCTGCCGCTGGAGCTGCTGGGCCTCGGGCACCTCCACCCCTAGCAGCTGCCCCCTCTCCAACAGGGACTGCAGTAGCCCTGGACTGGAGGGCAGTGAGGCCAGGGCCTCACGGGCCTCAGCCTGGTAGGCCTCCACCTGTTCCAGAATACCCTACCGGGACACAGATGAAGAAGAAACTCCTCAGCTGGGCACACTTTGAGGTGCCACGGCCAAATACCTTTGCCCCACCTACCTTCTTACCCTCCAGTATTTGGGAAAAGCACCTAACAGGGGCTGCACTCTCTTCCTGTCCCACACCCTAAGACAACAGTTCCTAATACTCAGTACCTGGTAGAATGCTCTGAGGAATTTATTAAAATGCAGATGCCTGGGCCCCACCCGTAGAGATTCTTAATAGGGTTTGGTCAAGAGTCTGTGCTTTGCGAAAGTCCCCAGAGGATTCTGATGTTTAGCACCAGGAGACCCTTGGCCCAGAACACACTTGCTACACTTGGCCTTCTCACAAACCCCTATGCTCATGCTGGTGTCACTGCCTTCTTCATCCCACCTCTCCTCTACCTCCGTGAACTTGACTCAGCTTTCTAGGCCTACAAACATCCTTGGTCCTTTATCTTCTTCCACTTCCACCAGGACACATTCCCTTGACTCCATATCCTGTACTTACCCCTTGCCACCTGGCCCTCAAACCCCCTTTGCCTATCTCCTGTTATTCTCATAAGTGCATCCTATCTTGCCCAAACACTTGATGCTTTTGAAGGAAGCCAAGAGTAGCCTGCTGCTCGGGTCTCCCAATCCCCCTGAATCCTTATCAGCACTCTGAGTGCACTCCTCCTCACCTTGACATCCCCAATCTGGTGCATGGCACAAGGCAGGTTGTTCATCTGGTCCAGAAATGCCCGGAGCTCAGCCAGGGTCATCTGTAGACCAGCCACCCTGTGGGGGCTATGGAGTTTCACATGTGGGGTTTCAGGTCCAAACCCAGTCCCCTCCCTCCATCTCTGCACTCAGACCCAATGCCTTTTCTCATGCTCGCCCACCTGGATCTCTCACACTTCAGTGCCCCCAACTAGCCAGATCAGAGGGAGGAGGGTTTTAAGATATAAGCACATTCATATGATGAGAGCAAAGAATTGGAAGGGGGGAATATAGGATATGTTGGGGGGGGGGAAGCTGAGAAACTAAATGATAGTAACAAAGGCTGAACTTTTTAGCTCATCCTCTACTGCGAATTCTCTGATCAGGTTTATTCTTCTGTGTCCTTTCTTTGTCCCTAAACCTTCCACAACTCCTCTCTGGCCACAAAATCCCTCAGCCTGTCTGACATCTCCAGGTACTGATAAAAAGGACCATTTCTAGCTTTCTTAGCACTGAGGCACTCTTCTCCATCCTAGTTGCCTGATCTCCCTGCCCTCCCAACACCTCTTAGGCCACCTTGCGCTGTAGTGCTTGTCAGCTTCCTGCTGTCATCTGCCCAGTGGCATTCAGAGCCCACTCCTTCTAGGTGCTGGCTCCTCAGCAGGCTACCTGAACCCCACACGTCCCACTGTCATACCCTGCTTCCTGGCCGCTGACTAGTCCCAGAGCCCGGGACACGCAGGCCTCTGCCTCACTCAGGCAGTTCTTCAGTTGCTGCAGCAGCTCACTGTTAGGAAACCTCCGTTCACGGGCCTCAGACTCTAGTGCCCTCAGCTCTTCAAGGCCTGGAGAGAGAATGAGAGCGGCAAGGAGTAGGCAGTATTGAGTAAAGGCAGAGAAGGGGGTGGGGAGGTACAGAACAAAAGGGAAGAGAACTTGCCTGTGGAGTCCCTCCGTCCCCCCATCACTCACTGCGCTTCCGCCCATCCTCCACCTCCAGGGCCACTCGAACTTTGTTGGCCCAGGTGTCAAAGGACTCGGCCCGAACCTTCAGTTTATGCAGCATAGCAGGGAGCTCATCCAAGGTGTATCGATACCTGGACGAAGACAGCAGGGAAGCACATCTGGCCCAGCTCTGTATCCCCCTCCTCAGCCCACTTCCTTCATAATAGGTCCTTGGCTCACCGCAGGTACTGCCGGCTACTGGAGCACTTGCAGAGGTCATTGATGTGGGAAAGGCAGACAAGCCCGTCCGGGCAGTCGTAGCAGGCCAGAGCTGACAGGAAGCATGTGGTCTTGCACTTGATGCATTGGCGCTCATCATCTGGGAGTAGCTCGAAAGCCTCTCGCTCAGCTTCCGTGATGCCCTGGGGGCAATTCAACCCACACACGTCATACAGAACCAGAACAGGGCTGCAGAAATGCCCCCATCGCTGCCACAACCAAGCCTCAACCTAGACTCCACAATCTGTGCTAAGAGCTGTGGAGAGCAAACTCCTAGAACATACTGCCTCTGTGAAGTTCAAACTCTCAAAACTGGAGGAATCAGATGAACCAGGGCAAGATCAGTGAGGGCTGAGAGGAAGAAAAATTGGGTAGCATTCAGATCAGCAGAGAGGGCCTTTATGGGTGAAAGGAGGTGAGGTGGTGGATCAAGGCACCAGAGAGGTGGCAACGTGCGGGAGCGGCTGAGAGAAAGGCTATGTGCAAGGGAAACGATGCTGGCTTCCGGTCCCTTGGCACCCAGTGTTCCAGGCACCATGCTGGCAGCTTAGCAGGCAGGACACGCCGCATGCACACATATAACTCACAAAAATAAGACTCTGTGCTTGTGTCCAGTGTCTAAAGATACAATTTTCTTTTTCAACAACATGGTTTCCAAACCTATGCCAATGACTTCATCTGTCACTCAGATGAAGAAAAAGCCATCTGTTCCAAAAATGGACGAAAACCCAGCTAGGCTGAAGTAACCAAAAGACAACACAATGCTGTACCTTATGGGCAATTTTAGGGATTTCTAAAGGGAAATTTGGACTAACAGTTTTTGTTCTACATTGACTCTAACATCTAACCTCTGCATAAGATATGAGTCCATTGTACATTACAAATCTCGCTCTGCCTCTTATTAGTTGTGTGATGTTGAGTAAATTACTTAAACCTCTCTGGATTTCTGTTTCGCCGTCTTATTAAGTTGGAGATAATGGCACCATCCTCACTGTACTGTTACGAAAATTAACAAAGGTGCAGTGACTAAGACTTAGAAAAGTATCTTAACACTTAGAAGTGGAACCACAAAATATCCCTAACAGCCAAAACAATCTTGAGAAAGAACAAAACTGGACGCATCATACTTCCTGACTTTGAACTATACTACAAAGCTATAATAATTAAAACAGTATGGTACTTGCATAAAAATAGACACACAGACAAATGGAACAGAATTAAGCCCTGAAATAAACCCCAAAATAAATAAAGTCAATTAACATTTGATATGGGAGCCAAGAATACTCAATACAGAAAGGACAGTCTCTTCAATAAATGACAGTGGGAAAACTGAGTAACCACATACAGATGAATTTGGACCCTTCTACCACTCATGAAAATTAACTTGAAATTGATTAAAGACTTAAATGTAATGCCCTAAAACCGTAAAACTCCTAAAAGAGAACATAGTGATAAAGTTCCTTGACATTGGTCCTGGCAAGAACTTCTTGGATAGGACACCTAAGCACAAGCAACAAAAGCAAAAATAAGTAAGTGGGACTACTATAACAGCATCTGCACAGCAGAAGAAATCATCAACAAAATGAAAAGGCAACCTATGGAATGGGAGAAAGTATTTGTAAATCATCTGTTTGATAAAGGATTAATATCCAAAACATATAAGGAACTCATCCAACTCAATAGCAAAAAAAAAAAAAAAAAACCCCACAAACAAAGTGATTTAAAAAAACATGGGCAGTGGGGCGCCTGGGTGGCTCCGTCGGTTAAGCGTCTGACTTGGCTCAGGTCATGATCTCACAGTTCGTGAGTTTGAGCCCCGTGTCGGGCTCTGTGCTGACAGCTCAGAGCCTGGAGCCTGCTTCACATTCTATGTCTCTCTCTCTCTCTGCCCCTTCCCTGCTCATGCTCTGTCTCTCTCTGTCTCAAAAATAAACAAACATTAAAAAAAAAAAATTTAAAAAAAAGAAAAAAAAAACACGGGCAGAGAACCTGAACAGATACTTTTCCAAAGAGATACAAATGGGCAAGAGGTACATGAATATACACTCAACAGGACTACCATCAGGGAAGTACAAATCAAAACCACAATGTGATATCACCTTACACCTGTCAGAATGGCTATTACCAAAAGAGATAAGTGTTGGCATGGATGTGGAAAAAAGGGAACCCTTGCACACTGTTAGTGGGAATGTAAACTGACTCAGCTACTTGGAAAATAGTATGGAGGTTCTTCAAAAAATTAAAAATAGAACTACCCTATGATCTAGCAATCTCAATCCTGGATATATACCCAAAGGAAATAAGAATCTCAAAGAGATATCTGCACTCCCATGATCACTGCAGCATTACTCACAACAGCCAAGCTATGGAAACAACCTAAGAGTTCATCAGTGGCTGAACAGATCAGAAAAATGTGATATATACATACAATGTAATATTATCCAGCCATGAGAAAGAAGGAAATCCTGGCATTTGTAAGACATGGATGAGCCTGGTGAACATTATACTAAGTCAAGTATGAGAGCCAAAGAAAAAAACAAATACTATAGGATATCACTTATGTGTGGAATCTAAAAAAGCCAAATTCATAGACACAGAGTGGTTTCCAAGTGCTGGGGAGTAAGGGAAATGGGAGATATTGGTCGAGGACACACACTTCCAGTCAAAAGTTGAGCAGGTCTGGGGGATCAAATGTACAGCATGGTAACCATAGAAAAGAAAAAAAAAAAAAAAGAGTAAGTGCTCAACAAATATTTACTATTATTAACTTTAATTTTCAGATTAAGGATACCTATTCTCACAGGCCTATCCCATTTTACTGAGGAGGAAACTATGTCTCAGAGGGTCTGTAACCTGCCCAAAGTAAGAATCTGATGACAGTCTATTCTGACTATAAAGCCAGAGAATGCTCTAAGGACGAAGCTCCTAGGTATTTTTGGAACATAGGCTACTCTGAGAATTGGATACAAGGTACGAGCCCTCTCCCCATAAAAGTGCTCAAATACACACACACAGTCTTTTACAGATTTTTAAGACTAGGGGGTCGAGAACCTTTCTCTACAGTAAGGACCAAGTATAACGAATTCTCAGGGTCAGGATGAGAACACCTTGTCTTCCCACCTTGCTGTGGCTCCTTCTTGTAGTCTGGTACAACCTCAGGGTCATCATTTAATAACTGCACTGAACAGAGAAAGAGAATGATGCCTGGAAAAGCCCAGGGGCTTACCAACTAACACCAGAGACTTCCAACATCACCACAGCTGCAATTCTCCTTACAGCCCATGCTCATAGGCAAATTATAAATGAGCTTTAAAATAAGAAAGGATTACCCTAAATGGGCAGCAAGGGATCCCTCAGGACCAGCATTCCCTTGTAATATTATGTAGGACTCTAAGTCAATTCCCTAGTTGGGCAAGAGTGGAACTTTAAGAAGGCAGCTGAGCTACAAGAGTAGCACTCCCACTGGTCTACAAACACAGCTGACCACAGGCTTACGAGAAATCTACTAAAGGAGGACCGCCTTTGTATTTGGTAGTGTCACCCTAGTTTGGGCTACTGAACCATCTGAATGCAATAAAATGGCATTTGCTAAAAAATGTTCCATATTTCAATCATTTCCTTCATGTGTTACTATTACCAACAACAGCAGCTGCTACGTTGCAAGCATAATAATAGATACTTTGACATAAATAAATGACCTTACTCAAGCTTTACAACTCCCTTGCAAATGTGGTATTTAGTCCCATTTTCCAGAGTAGGGAAGTGAGACTATGAGAGGTTATGCAACCTGAACAGGTCACCCAGCTAATCAGCAGTGGGGGTTTCATATGCCAGGCTGTCCTGTCGGGTTATTTAAATAATGACAAACAGCGGTAACACCAGGACCTGCTGCGGGTCAGTTACTTAACATAATCTTTAATCTACTCAACTATCCAAAAAGATAAACGTTATAATCCCCATTTTTCAGAGATGGATTAGGACACTCTGCAAAGTAAATTAACTTGCTCACAGCTGTTGATAAATGGCAGAGCAGAGAATGGAAAGGGATTTCTAATCCAGATGCATCTAGTTCTTTTTACTACACTCCAAGACTAGAGGGTACATCTACTTCTTTCTTCCCCCACTTCTGCCGGGCTAGGGTGCCTAATTCAGGGCACTCTCCCCTCTACCCTACCTTTTCAAGCAGGGCCTTTCGTAGACGCCGTTCCTCCTGCACCATGATGAACATCTCCTTATGCACAGCTGCGGCCAGGTTCAGGTCCAGCTTCTCTGGGCAGGCAGCCATCTTACAGATGAGCTCCTCATGGGAGAAGACGCAGTATCTTCGGAGCCGGCGGTAGTGCTCAATGCATTGGCGCCCAGCTGGCAACTGTGGACAGATTCACGGTTGAGTGTGGCCAAGTCTGAAGGCCATGGTGCCTCAGCTTCCCCACATCCCTCCTGCTTCTCCCTGCCAACCCACCACACTCCACTCACCCAGTCAGCAGTGCAAAAGTTGACAGCCTCCGCAAAGTTGTAGCCTTGGTTGAAGCCACTGTGGTAAGCACGAGGGAAGGTAATGACAAATTCTCCTGCACACTGGTTTGTACGGACAACCTGAGGAAGAAAAAGGCCAGGAAACCTGATTTAAGTGCAGGGTTCTTAAGGAGACAAAGGAGAGCTTGAGGAAACAGTGTGACAACAGAGTTCCAGATCCAATTCCAAAAGGACCGACCACTGGCCTCTGCTCTCAAAGTTGTGACTTATGTTGGCAGCCAACAGGAAGATCAGAGTCAAAAGTAGGAAATGTACGTACCAAAGTATTTCAACTTTCCTAGTAATTTTTATAAAAATTTAAAATCTCACTTTTCATTAAGCTGGCTAAGCCTTTTTCATTAATAATTATTTTTATCAGTCATATATGCAGTTCCCAGAGCCATGTGTTCTACAAGATTTGTTTTAAAATCAGCAGGCCCTGGGGTGCCTGGATGGCTCAGTTGGTTAAGCATCTGACTCTTGATTTCAGTTCAGGTCACAATCTCGTGGTTCGTGGCTTCGAGCCCCGCATCGAGCTCTGTGCTGACAGTGCAGAGCCTGCTTGGGATTCTCTGTCTCTGCACCCCCACCCCGCCTCTTCTATTGGTGAAAGCCAATCACTTTCACCTCTTCTATTTTGGCATTCTCCTTAACAACCCTAAATAACATGCCTCTCGACTATACTGAAAATAGCCACCTATTATTTCTCAGTTTGCTTAGTTTTCCGTGCATGTATTAGTAATTCAATCCCAACCTTTTAGACAAGTGTCCAACCCTCTTCTCGTCTATCAGTTTTCACCTTTCTGTTGCAGAGCCTTATGATCTGTTCCAACCTGAACCAGCTACACTATACTCCCTGGATCGTCACTCTGCCATGATGATCTCCTGTTTCCTAGATCCCAGGTCTTCCTCTTTCTTGGTGTATTCTTTTGCTGTACTTGAGCACATCCTCCAATAGCTGCCTAGGAAACAGTGGGAACAACTTTTTTTTTGAAAATGTTTCTATTCTACTCTCATACTGCATAATTTGACCATATAGAATTCTAAATTGAAAACCATTTCGAAGGCATGGCTCTAGTCTTCTAGATTCTAGTGATGCTTTTGAAAAGTCTGAAGCCATCCTGATTTCTAGTGCTATGAATTAAACCTCTTTTCTCTCTCAGAGAGCTTGTAGGATTTTTTCTGGTCCAAGTGTTTGATATAAAAATTTTACCAGATATACTTGGTGTAGATCTATTTTCATTCATGTACTGGGTAGGCGCTTCAATTCTGAAAGCTTGGGTCTTTTAGTTCAGGAAAATTTTCTTGAATGATTTCATTAATGATTTGTTTTCATCTCTGCTCTTTTCAGAACTCATTTGAATATAGAACCTTCTGAACAAATTCTCTACCTTTTCTCAACTTTCGTTACCATTTCCCATCTTTACTGTTTATCCTCTAAACCTTTTTCTTCCACTTTTGCTATCACAATTTTAATTTCCAAGAGCTCTTTTTTGTTCATCAGGATGTTCTTTCTTATTTCAGTTTGCAATATATGCTTATCTCTGAAGATCTTAGTGAGATTTCCTTCCCTTTTCAAGTTCTTTAAATGTTTATTTTTCAGAGAGAGTGAGCAAGTGAGCGCATAAGCAGGAGAGGGTCAGGGAGAGAGGGAGACAGAATCTGAAACAGGCTCCAGGCTCTGAGCTGTCAGCACAGAGCCCGATGTGGGGCTTGAATCCATTCACCACGAGATCATGACCTGAGCTGAAGATGGATGCTCAACCGAATGAGCCACCCAGCACCCCATCCCTTTTCTTTTTGAAGTTTACTTCTCTCCCTGCCTAACCTCTGTTTATACAGGTTGCTTTTTTGTTGTTGTTTGGTTCTGTTTTCTAGAGTTTCCTCAGTTGTCTGTTAATCTGTGGCTGTCTACTTTTTTAAGAGTAAAAAATGGAAAAGCTGAATGGAAGTTCTGAGTATATAGGTGAAGTCTGTCAACTGTCGCTGTAGGGTGATGTGGCTGAGCCATTTAGTTTGGGAAACTGTAGGTCTTTCTTTTCAGGTCACTCAAGATTCTCCAGGGAAAACTCTTTTTTTTTTTTTTTTTTGCCTGAAAGAAATACATCTAGCTGCTAGTTCTGAGAACCAAGTGAAGGAAGACTGGGAACCTCAGCATCCATCACTCATACAATGATGAATCCTACTATTTTCACTTTCTCCATCCTCAACTGTACCTAGACCTCTGTCCAGAGATATTTTATTTTAACCTCTTCAAAAGTAAATCTCCAGTCTTCTGCTTTAGTGAGGGAGGGTCACATTTCCAGCTGCCCAGCATGGCAGGGGATCTCACAGCTTCTTATAGACATGAATGAATCCTTATTTTCACCCCATTCTTCTTTCCTCCCAGAATGTCTGGTGCCACTGACTACTGAACCTCTGGGGGGATTCTGAACTATATATCAGGTTGCTTGGTTCTGAGATGTTTCAATACTGGCTTAAGTTTCAATTTTCTTATCTGTTTTCTAGTTTCAAGAATTTTGATCTCTCTCTTGTCTCCATTTTAATAATTTTTTACCTTAAAAAAAAAAAGTCCTTTGTGCCATTTTAGTGGAGTTTCAGCAAGGAATGGAAGCAGCCATGTGTTAGTTTGCCATCTTTAGGAGAAGCCTCACAAAGTTTTTTGAGATGAATATTAAGATGAATATTCAATGCTGATGAACACACAGTGAAATAGGTGCAAGGCTGGTAGTGGGACCAGTAACTAAAACTAAGATATTATTACTGATATATATCAAGAGCCTTAAATGTTTATACCCTTCAAAACAATCTGCTAGGATTCTAGATTAATGGGGAGAATTAACATCCTCATGACACTGAAATTTCCCATTCATGAATACATCTCTGCATTTATCCAGGTCATGCATCAGCTCCCACCTCTAATACATTTTCTTTTCAAAGATGCAACAGCATTTCTTGCCTGGATTATTGTACTGGCCCCCATTACCAAGCACTAGAATTATCTTCCAAAAAATGCAAATCTGACCAGCAATGCCCCTGCTGAGAACCCCTTACTTGAAACTCCATGTCCACATGATTGAAGCCACTGTTACTCTTCCCTCAAGGATCATTCCTTCTACAAATGCTTTCCTGACCCCCTCTTCCTAATGACACAGTCTGTTGTTCTTCTGAAGCACCTCTAACATTTATTCCACTTGTTTACTCACCTCTGTTGTCCACTCAACTGCACATACCTGAAGGTAGGGACTGGTTTATTTGTCTTCAAGGTGCTGGCCAGAGGCCTTGTACACACAGGGAGTTCTAGCAGTAGTACTTGCTGAATGAGCTAAACCCAGCCCTGATTCTATAGATGTGAAAACTGAGTCCCAGAGAAGCTTCAAGTAGCAGAGCCAGAAATAGAACTTAATGCTCCTGACTCTTATCTCAACCTGCACCCTCACTTTGGCAATATTACTTTACCATGTCCTATGTAGTTATTTAAAAAGGCTCTCCTCACATTCTGTAGCTGTTAAAAATGACCCAAATATCCATCAAGTGGTGAATGGATAAACAAAATGTGATACATTCATACAATGGAATATTATTCTACCATAAATAGAAATGATGTTCTGACACATGCTACAACATGGATGAACCTCAAAAACATTATGCTAAGTGAAAGAAGCTGGATGCAAAAGACCACATATTATTCCATTTAGAAGAACTGTCTAGAAAAGGCAAATCTCTAGTGACAGAAGGCAGATTAGTGGTTGCCTGGGACTAGGGGTTGGAATGGAGAGTGACTGCAAAAGGGCATGAGGATCTTTTTGGGGTGATAAATGTTCTAAAACTGGATTGTGGTGATGGCACAACTGTGTAAATTCACTGAACTGTGTACACTTAAAATGGGTAAATTTTAAGGTATGTAAATTATACTGCAATAAAAAAAATTTGTTTAAAAAGATGGTTATAAGCAGCTCATAGTAAGAAAGCAACAATCATTCTAGCCCAGCACTGTCCAACAGAAATATAATGCCAGCCACATATGTACTTTTAAATTCTCTAGTACCACATTAAAAAAGTAAAAAGAAACAAGTAAAATTAATAACTTCAGAGTATTCTATTTAATAGATCCACAATATCAGCATTTCAGTGTGTAAGTGGTATACAAAAATATCAGTAAGATATTTTCATACTAAGTCTTGACATCCGACACATGTTTTATACTTTCAGCACATTTCAGATTGGACTAGCCATGTTTCAAGTGCTCAGCAGCCACATGTGGCTAGTGGCTACCAAACTGGACAGTGCCATTCTAGATCATTAAACTTAAAATGAGATTATAAAACCCATACACTGATTGTTATATCAAAATTTACATAGAAAAATAACAGATGGGAAACATAACAAAATGTGGAGGAAATAGAGATGATCACTATATTTCCATTTTCTGGAAAGGGGGCAGGTTTCTTTTATAACGAAAATAAAACTTACACTATATAGCTATAAAAAAAAAATGGTTTTCTTCTGCCAAAGGGGAAGGGGGGAGGGGGTGGGCTAAAGATAGATCCTGGGGGAGCTTCAGCTGGCTAAACTGCAGGCTGCCAGCATGAGAATATGAAAATCAGATGCCTTGGATTGAGGGGATACTGCCAAGTCCAAAGAGTCTGGAGATGCTGGGAACCACCTATAGGAGGGGCAGGGTGGGGGTGGGGTGAAGCAGCAGCTGGCCAGAGAAGCTGGTGAGCCATGAGCAGGACAAATGCTGTGGAGCTGGAAGCAAAGAGCACATGTTTAAAAATCTGTAATAAATTTTTCTTAAAAAGAGTTAAGGATTAAATAGTTACACACACACACACACACGTGTGTGTGTGTGTGTGTATCTTGGCTGTCTAAATCTTTAAGGAGAATCCTCTTCTACTCATAATTTTCCTTGGCACTGTAGGCAAGGACTAATGCTGTGCTATGTGTCAGGAAGAATGGACTGTGAGGAAGTCAGACCCAGTGTCTACTTACGAAGAGCTGAACTGGAAGGGCCCTTGATCATCTCCACCTCTCGAGTCCAGTAATTCTTAAATGGGGTGAGGCAGTGACGGAAAAGGATACCTGCCATCCCCCTACCACTCTGCCACCTCAAGTGGAAGAAGGCTGCCTGAACTGTTGTAGGATACACTTCCACTAATTCCCTAGATCCCTCAAGGCTTGGTTAAGTATCACTAAAGTAGCTAATAAAAAAATACTACAGGGTATGCAGTATATCAAAACAAGGTGAAGGCAAGAAACAATATGGGTGAGAACCACTGACCTAGTCCAAAGCTCTACTGTACAG